TGTATGTATGTGTCTGTGTCTGACCACCGCAGCCAAATTGCCTAAAGAAGAAGAAGATGAAGGGGAAAAAAAACAGCAAGGAAGAAGAAAAAAAAAATAAGAAGAAGAAAATAGCGAAGAAGAAAAAGAAGAAGAACAACAAAAAAAACAGCATAGAAGAAGAAAAAGTAGACGAAGAAGAAAAAAGAAAATTACCTGTGCAAAATTTTTAGGACTATCTCCATATCAGACATGAAAAAAATCAAAAAAAAAAATCCTGCTTTTCTTTTCTTTATTTTTCTTTTTTTTTTCTTATTAACCGATTTTCGTTTTTCATTTTTTTAAATTCGTAAATCAAGTCAATTTTTTTTACAAAAAATTATGGGGTTGTAAGGTCTGCAAAATCCTACAACCCCATAATTGTTTTCTTTTCACGTATTTTCCCCCCCCCAAAAAAATATCCAAAAGCTCCGCCTGCACGTGGCACGGCTGTGGAAAAGCTCGGCCCACGACCGGCCTCCTCGGTCGTGGGATCTGCGGCCGGTGGAGTCATGTAGGTGGGGAGCATCACCTGCTGGAAATCGGGTCCAGCGTCCCTTGAACACATGAATGGACGAGTACATGGGTACATGAGATGAATATCGTTGATGTCTGTGGTGTCTGAGAGAACATGACTGTATTTCCTGTGGGTTTCTTTAGCACCTGAGAGTGCAAGAGTATCTCAACCTATTCTGGACCCGTACAGCACCTCTTCACCTCCTCTCTTTGTGGCACCAGATCTTAGTGACCAAACCAGTGCTGTATTTCCTGTTATATGGGGGACGGATGGACTGCTGTCCTATTTGCTGCATACCTACTCTCCCTTTTGGGGATGAATCCTTAAACCCCTAAACCCTTGCTCCTCTCCCAAGTGTCTGATACCCTTCCAGTATCCTTTCCACTTTTCCTTCTTTAACTTCATCCATCTCTCCCATACCATTCCATTTCCACCAGGCAGTTTGATGGGGGGGGGGAGAAATTAGGGAATTCTTCGCTGGGTTTCATCGGAATAGCTGTATCGATCTTAGTCCACTCACAAAAAAGGAGCTGGGAGTCCCTCACTAGATGCCTTCTCCCTTGTCCCTCCCCAGGTTCCTTTTGTCCCCCTTTCCATTCCACTTTCCCTATCCTCCCCCCGTTGTCACCCCAAAGCCAGCTCAAGCTAAATTCCTGAGTTTTTTGTTGGATATTTTTTCGTGTGTGTAGTCTGACCCTTAACCTTCTCCCATTTTGCACTTATTTCTCTGTGAATTTGTTGTTGTATGCTTTCTGTGAATTCTGGTCCCTCTAGTCTTGCTCTTTCCATTTCATATGTGCAGCGTTGTCGGCAGAGGGTCCAGTGCACTGCTCTGCGTCATAGTTTGAACATGTTGCTGGTGAATTCATCCAGTTGGTCTTTAGGCTACGCTTCGCACAGCAAGGCCTTCCAGTCCCACGGCCACTGGATCTAAGTTTCTAGTTGTTCCCAGATTCTATCCCACCATCTCCACAACCACAGTTCTCCCAGGCACTGAAGAAATATGTGCTCGATTGTTTCTGGCCGTCTCCTACATGGGAGTGCATTTGTGCATAGCCTACATCAGGGCAGGGCTTGCCCTCTCTTCTCCATGCTCTATCTATCAGCCAATCCTTTGTCGGTAGGCGGCGGTGCTCTATCTGCCATTGCAGTGAGGGTAATTTTGCTGGTTTTTACTTGTGCATGTAACGTTGGAAAGAGCATGAGGCGGGGTTTATGGAACTATGAGCTCGTACTTTGTCTTTCGGAGTTGATATCATCGCTATGAGCTTTGTGGCGGAGCAGATCATCAGTCGATGCATGTCGACGCCGCGGGCTTCATCTCCTTGATACGGCAAGTGCATCACCCTCGGCGCATTGCGGATCTCCTTCGATTCGCACAATTCTTCAGCTCGACAGGTATACATGCGGCGGCCGAGTTCAGGTTCGTTCGTTTCGGGACTTCGGGAAGCCTAGGGTGTTGGCCGAGGGATCGACATTCTTGCGACTCTCTCCTCCGGGGGTTAGCCACATCTCTGTGCTAATCTCCTTCAGGGGGGGCTTTTCGGTGCTGCACGAGAGCGTCCACGCAAGCTTTCTTCAGTTGCGGCGCTGGGCAGAAAAATTGGTGACCACATGGCAGCACAGGCTCGTGCGACCGGGGGATTGGGCTCAAAACATCGATAGTATTGACACCCACCTGATCCGGTTGCATCCTGTGGAGCTGGAGGTAATCCATCTGGAGCTGGTCCCCTTCGAGTAAGCTCAATGAACCAGCACCGGTTGTCCACGTCTACGTTGTCGTCGGACTTCTCTACTCTGTGGTCGTCTCCCACCCGCTCGCATCTATCGTACGAAGTCAATGCGATCCCGGTGCCCGGCTCGGAAGAGAACAGGTGGTCCGAGAACCAGCACCGGATGTCCACGTCTACGCCGTCGTCGGACTTCTCTACTCTGTGGTCGTCTCCCACCCGCTCGCATCTATCATACGAAGTCAATGCAATCTCGGTGCCCGGCTCGGAAGAGAACAGGTGGTCCGAGAGGTTGGAAACTATGTATCACCCGTGATCATGACCGCGGGCCCGCTGACCGCATGCGGTCAGGATCATGCCCATGAGGGCCAACCGCGGGGGCCAAGTATGGTCGAAAATC